GCTACTCATAAACATTTTCCTCTGTTGGAGACAGATTAATGCTGGTATTTTCTGCTAATACAGAACAATGAGCTGTTTTTCATATTTTTCTTTAGAAGTGTAACTGTTCTGTCTCTCTAATTGTAAGTATAATTTAAGTGTATTAAACAATACTTTTATTAATCTGGTATTTTGTGCTTCTTTTTAATTTTGACATTCCAAAAGTGTAATGTTTATTATCAATGAGGTACTGTTGTAAATTTTTTCCAGAATTTGATATTTTTCCTAGAAAACATACCTACTTGGTAGTTGTTGCATATTTCCTACATCTTTAATGCACATTCCTACATGCTTTAAATAGGAGTAAGTTTTATGCAGGATTTTTTTGTTCGTTTGTTTTGTTTTTGCATTGCATTTTCATTAATTGTTCAAAATTATTAGTTATACTTAATTTGATCATCATCATTTATGTTTGGTCCAGGACTTAAAAGAGAAGGGCTAGTTCATAGAAGTTTCCTTCTGAAACAGTAAGTGAGGAGTGAGGATGTAATCATGTTGACACTGACTGCAAAAAAGATTGCACTGCAAAGAAACTTTTTAAATTTGAAAAAATAGCTGTAATTTAGAAGAGAAGGTGCTATTACTATGTGCAGTTATAACACTTAAAAAAATTAATAGAACTTATTTATTAATTTTAAAATAATAGATAAAATACGCTACATTTTCTTAAAAGTTGTAGATTTCCTTTCCTGTTGCATTTATTAAATCATGAAGAATAAAACTATGGCATTTATAACATTTAAAAAAAACTAATAGAACTTATTTATTAATTTTAAAATAATAGATAAAATACGCTACATTTTCTTAAAAGTTGTAGATTTCCTTTCCTGTGCATTTATTAAATCATGAAGAATAAAACTATGGCATTTATAACATTTAAAAAAAACTAATAGAACTTATTTATTAATTTTAAAATAATAGATAAAATATGCTACATTTTCTTAAAAATTGCAGGTTTTCCTTCCTGTGCATTTATTATTAAATCATGAAGAATAAGACTATGGCATTTATTATCTTTTCTTCATCTGCATATTAAGTGGGAGAATTCTATTACTCTTTCTAACGTAATTATAATAACAGCTTTTTAAAGTTCAGGCAAAAGAAAAACGTAATTTTGAATATATGTGTCAATTTTTCTCTGCAGCCAAAGAAGAGGAACTTACGTTTGACTTCCCATGAAATCACTAGTTTTATTCAAAATTGAATCTAATCTGATTGCTTTTTTAACCTAATTCGAAATTTTACTCTGGCGTGTTTCTCTTATGATTTGATATAATGGCAGCTATTTTAAAAATACTTGTCTAACTTATACTCACATTTATACACATGTATTACATTTAAATAAATACAGGATGTCGTATGTTTGATAAAACAACTTTGCTCAAGAGAATTTAAAAGAGGGGCAAAAGGGGGAGATCTTTTTTATACGAAATTACTTTGGTGGTGTATACGATTATAAATTACCTAAAATGCTGAGCTAGCTTTTCCCTCCCCCCCCCATACAAATTATCGATACGTTCTTGTTTATTTTTGCAGTTGTGGCATTCAGCAATATTTACATAATCATTTCTGAGTGCTATTTAAAATCCTTCATATTTGGTTTTATTATTCCTATCATCATTTTCGTAATTGCAAGAATGAATTTTCTTTAAACTTTATTTGTGATTCCAAAAGCACTCTGCATTATTTTTCTTTTCTTATCACAGTATTGGATTTTAACAGTTTCTTTTGCAGCAAGTAAAACAAACAATTTTTCATGTCATCTTCACAATCATTGTGTAGAAAATTTTCACTGCAAATTCTTGCATTCTTCACGTTAATGAAATCGTGTCTTCGACACATGTATACATTTTTCTTCTCCAAAAGGAAATTGTCTTTGGAAAAGTGTGAAATAAATATCTCTATCTTTCTCATTGCCATGAATTTTATGGCACATTGCTACAGCCTAAGAAGACATATTACATTAACAATACTTTGCAACAGTGGTCCCAAACTTGCATTGCACACATGCCAATGCACAGTTTGAAAGTAGCTAAGAGGCAGCAATTATTAAGCTGGTATCTGTAAGGACTTTTTGTTGGTCACAATTTGGAATTTAAATAGACAGCTAAGTATTAAAATTTTCAGAGTGGCATTTATTCAACTAATTGTAATACACTGAACTACTAAGTAACTTTTAATTACTTAGTACTACTAAATAACTTTTTTTTTAACTAAAAAGAAATATATGAAAGCTTCCCAGGAGGGACAAAACTTAAAAATAAATGGTGACAACCTACTCTCTGTCTTTTATTTACTAGATTTCTGTGACACAAAACAGAAAAAATATTTATATGTAATTATGATAAATATATTTGTTTATTTGTATAATTATGGTAAATATCTTTGTTTTTTACTACACCTTTCAGCTACACTACCTCATGACATTTTGATTTTTATGAAGTTTATAATCTTGGAGGGAAATTACTGAAAAGTATCAATACAAATTGTACATACTCATCAGCAGTCTTGTTGTTTTCCTAGACTTATTGATTTTCAGCTACCATCCCCCCAAAAAAAACCTCTTCACATGTAATATACTCAAAAACAAAGCAAGTATTCTTATTGTAAAAAATTCATATGACAATTACTAAAAAGTTAATCAAATTTGTATCTTAAAATCTTTAAGCAAGATTTATATCATAGTGTAAATTAATTAGCTCTACATTTAGATTTTTCCTGAAGAGTTATGTTCGTTTTTGGTAATACAGTACAAAGTCTGTAATCCAATATCCATTATCTGGAATGATCTATAATCCGGACCTCAAAGCTACAAGCTTTTTTTTGTATGCTTTATGCATGTGTGTTTAATGCGTAATTCCGATAGTGAAGAAAGTGACAGAGAGGTTATTGAAAACGAAAAAATTTCGATTAACAAGTTAGTCAGTATTCTCGACACACAATTACAGGACTTGAACAATGGAACTTTGTAACTGAACAAGAAATTATGTCTGTTTATAAAATTAAAGAGAATGTATTAGTACAAAAAATGAAGCAACTTAAATAACTTACTTTGAAAGAAATGCTTAATAAAGTAAACAAATAAATATTAAGCCTTTTTTTGTGTAAATTTTGATACTCTTTAGATTATAATTGCTGTTTATTTCATGAGTTATGGTTTCATATATTTAATTGTATAATTACTGCATGCCATCTTACCAGATTTTAATTGATGATCTATAATCCGGAATCGCCGAAGTCCCGACGAGTCCGGATTGCAGGCTTTGTACTGTATAACTTAAAATTGGATTCCAAACCATTAGAATCTTAAACCTTTTCTTCAAATTCTTGTCATAGTAATACTAATTAATTTATGGGAAATGTATTTAACGGCAGCATAAAATTAATTCGAGGGCCCCCAGTTTGACTTTGATACTGCTTTGCTAGAAAACAATATATGTGATTAAAATTAATTTGGGGTGTCCACGTTGTTAGTTTTATACAGGTGAAGTCACAGCAGATGCAACATAAGTGACGTCGGACTACTTCCTGCTAACTCTCCCTACGAGGATTGCATCGGTGAGGAGTCCCACAAAGAAATGGCCTAGGCCTTAACCCTGTGTTTGATCAGGGAATATTTTTTATTTTCTTATTTATAACATTTTAGCATCTAAATTTTTTTAACACCACGTTTTATTTGAGCATATATATAGCAAGAGAATTGTGGGATTTTCCTTCTGCCATCATCATCATTATTATATGTGTGTGTGTATAGGTATGCTGTGTCTACCAAAAAATCTTTACCCAACCTTTATTTCTGCAACTGTTGGTCATAGACATGTAACTCCAGTTACAGAAATGTTTTAGATGACACAAATATTCATGTTTTTTCATTTTAAAATTAAAAAAAAATTAGCTTTTTAATAATTAAAAAATCTAATCCTCCAGTTCCTGTACTTATTTTATTTAGGAAAATTTTGCACTCATTCAAAAAAAAAAGCGTGATTCCCATGCTACAGAAATAGAACAAGATATTTGATATTAAAGTTGGAGATCGTATTAAAGGTTTTGCATAAATTGAAAAATGAGGTGTTCACATTTGTATGTAACTAAATATAAAATAGTTTCAAAAACGTTTTGTGATATTAAATGACAAGCATTTCTAAGTAGATTATTGTTAAATGTATTAATCAGTATATTTTTTCCAAAATAGAGACATTATTCATGGAATTCTGTAGAATTCATTTCTAAGACGCACTAACAGTATTTGTATGTAGCCTACTCATGTAACATTTGGATTCATTAAAAATGAAAAGTGTTTATAGTTTGATGAATTTTGTGAATTTTTACCAGATTATAATTCTGAAGTAATTAAATTTCTTAAAGCAAATTAAAAATATCAAAAATTGCAGATTTTGGAATTATGTGGCATGATCAATTTTTGCTGCATGGAAGTCAAACTTTATTTTTGATAATGAGTATGTCATTTTTCTAAATATAAGTATAGATACGAAAGAAGCATATAAAAAGTTATATTTCATTATTTTTACAAATTTTTTTTTTTTAATTTAAAAATTCAACAGCATGGATATTCGCACTATTTAATCCTTTTGGTGATTGGAAGTATATATCTGTGACAAACATTTATGAAAATAAAGACAGGGTAACAACTTTTATGGCACAGTGTATGTAATAGAAACATATATATGTATGCTTATATACGTACTTCCAAAAAAGTGAGAGGTTAAAGTTGGCAGACTTCCTTGTTGTCTTTAATTTTTTACCTTGAAAAAATATGCTGGTTTATTACTGTAAATTATAATTTATTCATTTCATTAAAATGATGAGGATGTTTTCCACTGCTATGTATTAATTTTAATGTAGCATGAGATCTTTCTGTTTTACGTTGTCCCCCGCCCCCCAAAAATTAAATTCAATGTAGTAATTATTTTCATGGAATGATTAGTTTATTTCTTTTTTAGGAACTCTAAAGCACAATTGTTCAGCATTTTCACAGCAAGTTGACATCTGAAGTTTTTTTAATCTCCCTTTATAATAAATATTAAGATTGAGTGACTGATAATATTTTGAATGGAACTACAGAGAAGTGCTGCTTGATGTGAAATTAAAGGAAATAGATAAATTGTTCTAATAAAGACTTCATATTTATTTGTATGTAGTTTATTAGGTGTCCATGTGTTTGAAATAGTTTTGTGAATATCATTACAGAAATTTTTAAGTTTTTTTGTTTTGTATTTCAACTGGTATTGCTCATAATAACATCAAACTTCCAGCTTGTCTTAATGTTATATTTATTAATAAAAATTGTTATTATTATTCAGTTCTTTATGTTTTTGTTCCTAAATGTATATTTTCTGTAAACAAACCAAAAATGTAAGATATATTTATTTTCTGATTTGGGTATTTTATCATTTTAGTTTTGAAATATTGCCATCATTATTTATTTTGCTGTAATTTGTGTTTTGTAATAAATCTAGTCAATAGAAATATATTCAGTACAAGTTTAGGTACAGAAAACATTATGTAGGTTAATAGAGTGACAAATTTAAATAAGTGATGCACATTTTCATGTAAATCAAATTGGTTGGTCACAAATAATTGACTTTCCAACTGCCTTAACTAGTTACTTAAATATTTAATCTTTTTCATATTTTAGTTAAACTATTTTATATAGATAATATTCAGTGCTTTTTATGTCTGGATACCTTATTTTAAATTTTTATGTCTAAATATTTTATTACAAGTTTTTATATCTGGTTATATTATTTAAAATTTTTAATGTGTGGTTGTTAAATATTAGACCAAAGTGCACTCATTTGGAAAACATTTTGTGTCTTGTGCTGATATGCTGTAACATCACATACTTTAACTTGTGTGAAAATTTTACAAGAGCAATAAAACAAAGAAAAATAATACATGTTGTTTTTAACATTTTAAGTTTCTATATGCAACACTTAATTCTCCAAAGTGTTTTGGATTGTTTTAAATTCTGTGCTTAAGTACTATAATTTGTTGAAGTCTCACTGTGAAGTTACGATTTTTTGAATTATCATGTATGTTATTTCCTGATTTTAAAACACATTTCTTTCACTGTATATATAAAAATAACAAAACAAATTAAAAAGACACTAAGTTTAGTCTTTAATATTTGATCAGATATCATGATTTAAGTGTCAATATAGTATTCTAGCCATTTCAAAAATCTTACTGTATCAAATGCATCCTTATATGTAGTGAAATTAATTTAGACGTTTTGTTTTTTAATTGGAAAATAACAATAAAATTCTAGAAAATCTTTTTATATTTTTGCCTTCTTTAACAGTGTATGTTTATTAAAAATATCTGCTTTTATGAATAACTATTTTTGTATTTTGAATTAATCAACCTTATTAATTTCATTTTAAAATCTTATTAATTTCTTTTTTTTTTTTTAATTTTTTTCATTTGATGCTCTTGGGCCATATGTAATCCAATATAGTTTTACAATAAATATACATAAGATGCGTGTGCTCATCCCTAAGTGAGGGTGGAAATGGACATTGTGTTACAACGGGACTTAAGTTAAAAGATTGTTAAAACCTATCTTTTTGGTTTAAATTGGATTTCTCCAAATCTCAGTAACTTGGTAATGTATCTGACAATATTAATTTGCAGGTTTTAACAGAAATAGTTGCTGCATAATTATATTTAAAAAATTCTGTAGTTTTATTATCATTTTCCTTTTTTAATAATTGATTTCTGGAAATGAAATTGCATTTTGTTTATTAAACAATAAAAAGTGATTCTCACCTGTATTTCTTATTTTTTCCTTCCCCTCCTTTTTTTTAATAAGAGTAATTTACAAAGAAATATTTCTTGTTCATTCGATACCCACTTGGGGACAAGTTTGTGTAGAATCATGAAGAGGAGATAAATGTATTTCTTAGCATACACCTCCAGTATAGTTACCCAGCATGCCATCTTAATTTTGATTGAGAACATTTTGAGAATCAATACCCAAAGGTCTTATATCCATCTTCCTCTTTCATCAACTAGACAAAATGACTTTTTAATATCAACTGAATTCGATGCAGTGCACACGATGATTACAGTCATTCAGAGTTATCTTGTAATTCAAATCCAAACTATAACTAAAGTTATTGCATCTTATCAGCTAAATCAGTTGGCAAGTACTTATTAATATCCGTGATAAATGGGAAATAAGGGCATCCCTTTTCTTAGGCAGATAGTATGCATTGCTGTAAATAAACAATTCAATCCAATTTATGTTTTTTGTAATTGATAGGTATTTATCATGTAAATGTTAAAAAATAAAAATTTGGCATTTTGCACATTAATCCCTTGATCGGATTTTTTTTTTTTTTTAATTTGACCCAAAGAAAGCATTTTTTTAAATTGCTGAAAATTAATATATGTTTTGTCCTAAATTCGAACATGCAAAATATTTTTGACAGCAGTTTTTGAAGTTCTTACAGATCAAATATGGGATATCCTGTCTATTTACTGATCACCAGTTTTCCCAGCAATGCACCCAAGTATTAAATTTTGAAAAAAATATGTTATATTTATGAATTCTATTGTTTTGATGTGTTTACTATGAATGTCTATATAAAAATATTAAAATTATGTAAAAAACGGTTTTCCAACCTTATCATTAAAATAGCTTTGCAACTTGCCTTGGACATGAAAATCACATTTATCACAAAAACAAAATAATTTATTTAATAAAAAAAATAATTTGGCTATGAATATAAAAAATATCTAGAATGTTTTTTTTTTTTTTTTTAGTTGATATTCTAACAGAAATCACACGGATATTCAATAACAGATATTCAAGGCAGGAAAGCTCACTGTGAAAATTGTGAAGAAACTAGGACCAGTTGCACTATCTCTTAGCAATATTCAGAAACACATAAGTACTCATGGAATTTAAAGCTATGAATTCAGTTTCAACGATGGAATTTTTCTCTTCATCGCATGGCGTGTGACGCCAACAGAGAAGGGATTTAAGGTGATTTATCATGCATATTTTTAGAATAATTTTTCATTAAAATTTAAAGGAAAAGGGCACATCATTAAACTTAAAAATTCTGCACTGTGAATTATCTGAATGGGATCAGATTTCCCCTCACTGTATTTTTGTTTCACAAGTGCACATTATAATTAAAAATTCTGAATAATTATACGATGATTAGTTATTGAATTTGCTACATAATAGTATTGTATAATTTCAATGCTCTTATGATAAATATCATTTGTCATTTGTGAATAAGATATGTAATACTATAATTAAGTTAGAAAATAAAGGTAACTTTAATGCAAAATTTTTATTGCATTCCCCTTTTTTTTTATTTCCTTAAAATCAATTGCCTAAGAAAGTAAAATAAATAATTGAAAGAATTTATAATGTTTAAAAAAATGTATGTGAATACTGGACTTCAAGTTTAGAGCATTCACACCAATGTTTGCACTGTTTCCAAGCTATCGATGTGCAAGGTAAATGGGATCCTAAGTAATAAAAACACTTCTTAAAGATATTAGCTGTATTTTTGCAGTTATTTCCTAATGTGTACTTGTAAGCACAATTTGTAGGTGTGATGTATCAAAAATAATTGCCTTAGGCAGACCATGTGAACTGACTTTTAGAATGATCTCAGCACTGTTTTATAAATATTTGAAGTGGTGGGGTTTTTTTTTTTTTTTTTTTTTTTTTTTTTTTTTTTTTTTCTGGACTAGAAGTCTAAATTGTGCTTTCCATTATACAAGATAACCAGTAAAGTTTTTGCTGTTTTTGGCATATCATTTGCTGAAATATACAAGCATATTACTCATGCACAGCAATCACAGATCATCCACTATCAAGGAGAAAATGGAGGTAACAAAGCAGCTTGTTCCGAACTCTGAACTAGGCTTAGCGCAAGTCGGTTCCAACCGGTTCGCATCTGATGAAATTGGTTCCCACCGTGCTGATGTCTCCCATCGCGATATGGATTGGATTACTGTTACCAAAAGCATGAAACGTACTCTGAGTGATACTGAATCGGACCCTCCTGAGGTGCAAAACGAATTTGTTGTTCTTATGAACATAACTGATGATGATTCTGCTGCTTCAGTACACGCATAGTACCAAACATGAAGGAGACTTTAGTTTGAAATGAAAATCCAAACCGAAGGCTCCCATGTAGTGAAGGAACTGAGAAACCAGCTGCAGCTAGTTGGTCCTCCAAGCTTGCACCTCGGCCGCTTGTCAGAGGTCTTGCAGGCTTCGACTCTACTCATCCTCAGAAAAACTTCCGTGGTTTATAGAGGGGAGTAGATGTATTTACTAACCTGGCGGTGCGAACCCATCGTGTGGGTAGGATTTTATTTTGGATAGTTTCAACATGTCAAAAATGGAGAAGCTGCTAGAAATTATTAAAAGTCAAATTAATAATTTGGAGCGTGTTAAGGATAGCAATGGTGAATGAACGGTTACTGAGAATGCATGTTATACATGTTAGAAGTTACCAAGGCCATCACTGATGACACAAATAAAAATCAATCTACAGCTAGCACACATCAGGAAGCTGTTTGGGCAGATCCATGTAGTAGTAAGACAGCCACTACAAGTGTTAGATCACAGTCGTATTAAGCTGCATAGTAGCCCTGAAATAGGCAAACCTTTAGATCAAGACACCAGTTCTGATGATAATATTATACCTCACAAATATGGTGATAAAACTGTGCGCACAAGGCAACTTAAGAATGTTGCTAAAAAAGCAAAGATTATTGCACAAAAAGACTCGGAATCGACTGACTCCAACAAGGAAATTATTAATGTTTCTAACACCCACACTGAAAAATCCTTACATGTACCTCAATCACAAAACACAAATAAAGATTTGGATACTACATCTAATGAACAACAATCTGCTAATGAAAATATCAAGCAGGATGATGTTAATCAAGTGAACTCTAAACTGCCTCCCATCACATTAAATGAAAATAAATTCGCATGGGGTGGCATTCGTAAGCTTATTAAACAACGTGGATATGGATATTATAGTAAAACTTCAAATGATAAAATTAAGATTTTTGCACACGACCCTGACAGTTATAGGGGTATTATAAAAATTTTCAAGGATGCAGCTGTAGAGCATCACTGTATTGTATTACCAGAAGAAAAACACATCAAAGTCGTAATAAGAGGTCTTACCTCTTCTACTAAAGTTGAAGACATTAAGGAGGAACGCCCTAAATTACGTCTCCTCAGACATTAAACAAATGACACAGCCGTCGAAATGGAGACGTTACAAAACTGCCTCTTTTCCTCATTTCTTTACCAAAAAATGAGACTTCCAAAGGAATCTATTATGAGCGCTATCTACTGGATTGTAAGGTAAATATTGAAGACTATAGGGGAAGACAGGGACCCCTGCAGTTCTTTAGGTGCCAGGGGTTCCATCACACCCAAATTCGTTGCAATTATACACCTAAATGCGTTCGCTGTGCACAAGAACACTTTTCATACTTATGCCCTTTTAAAAATGACAAAGATAGAACCCCATGCTGTGCAAACTGCGGTTCTGAACATACTTCAAATTTTCGTAGTTGTATTAAGCTCTCGAAAGCAAAAAATGACAAACAAAAAACTTAACCAGCAGAGTTGTGGAGAACAAGACATATTCACAAGCTCTTTCCGCAGGACTATTCACTGAAAAAATTCAAGAAGCCAAGAAAGTATTTATTGATCTCTCAGAACTCTTAGCAGCAATAAAAATAACTGGTATTCAAATTACACAACAAATGAATGAAATTACCCAACTAAATAAGGACTTCAATTCTACCAACCAAAATAGTAATGGGTAGATACAACCATAACAGAGCTCCGATAAAACTTACTGTTTGGAATGCCTGTGGCATTTCTAATAAAATTATGGAGCTGCAAAACTTGCTTACTAATTATGATATAGATGTAGCTTTAATTACTGAGACGCATGTTTCACCATGCAATAATATTAAGACTGTGCTACAGGTGTGATAGGTTGAGCCATCGCGGTGGGGGAGTCGCAATTTATTGTTAGGCGATCCTTTCAGTCATGTCACATTGCACACTTCAGAAATAACGGTCAGGAGAGGATTAAGGTACTGACTGACTGACTGATAACTTATAGCCAGAATATCACTGAGATCAGTAGTTTATCTGGCTCAATCAAATTTATGCCGGATGGGCACAATAACATACAACTATCTTCACATAATGTCCGCAGTAAGGAGGAGAAAGACGGATAAAGAATAGGAAGACCAGCAACGCAAAAGCTCAACTAGCAAGTAACCGGCCCGGTAAAGGCGTGACTAAGTGAGAGTCATAAAATGAGTGTAGAATGTGAATAAAACTAGTGTATTTAAGAAATACACAGTACAATAAATGAGTAAGATACAAAATTAAGAATGCTAATAAACACATTGAGTACATTATTTACAGGTGGGAAAGTTCGGGTCCCTGATAAGGTGGGCCGCAAGTGGGCGCAGTTTGGCGTCCTCATTCAATATTTCGTAGGTAAAGATATCAAAATTTCTCATATGGTCACAGTTCAGAGCTTTCGTGAAGAATTTCCTGTTGATCTTATTCAGGTGCTCTTCTAGAGTGTCCAGTTTTAAGTCACAGTGCAGTGTAGCATTGTTCACAAAAAAGTGAGCATGGGTGATAAGCCTTAAGACTTTGTTTTGCATGATTTGAAGTCTTTTGATATCCTCCTTGGTAGCCGTGCACCAGGCCGGCGACGCATAAGTCATCAATGGCCTAATTGCCGTGATATAAACTAGCCTCTTTTTCCTGAGGTCTAAGCTAGAATAATTACCCAATATAGGGATGAGACTATTTAAAACAGTGAAAATTTTTCTTCTGACCTCTGTTATATGATGTCCTCATTTTAATCTTTCATTTAGCATTACTCCTAAATATTTCGCCTTACTAACTCTAGGAATCTCTTCAGAGAATAAGAGCTTGCTATTAATAGTCAACTGTGTATTTTTCCTCCTTATCAATAATAATTGCGACTTGCTGGCATTAATAGCTATTCTCCATGGATTAAGGTATCCGTACTTCTCCCTTATTATGGCGTAGTGTATTTCTGTGCCTTCGGTTCTATTGGATGAAAACATCTTAAAGAGTTTCTTGCCTTTAAACACGCCCGTTATTCTCGGAGGTGATTTAAAAGCAAAAAGTGAAGAATGGAAATGCCGACGTACTAATGAAAATGGTACTAAGTTACATAATTTCATCATGAATAACCCTGTTTCATTCTATGCTCCGGAAAATTACACTTATTTCCCTAGCGACCCCAGTAACGCTGACATTCTGGATTTAATTTTGACTACTTCTTTTATACCCATGTACTTAGAAGTTAAGCAGGAAATGACTTCGGACCATGTCCCGATTATTGCTACTCTTGGTACGACTAAAAGCCTCCCGAAGAAGGAAATTAGTTTCACTGACTGGACATTATTCAATCAGCTTCTTTGCGAAAAGCGCACCGGCATGCCTAAGCTTAAAACTTCTCAGGATACAGACACTGGTTTTCACAGACTTACCAATTTTATTAGTCATGCAATTACCAGTACCACTCGTAAACTCCCGGCGAATCACGGTGTGGATAGACTACCCTCTTTTATTCGAGAGCAAATCAGAGAGAGGAATAAGCTTAGAAAAATCTGGAATAAGACTTGGAACCCAGCCCACAAGAAAGAGTTAATAAGCTAAATCGAATTATTAAAGAGAATATTTACAAATTCAGACAAGAAAAATCGGAGGAAAAAATACTCAGTTTGAACGAACCTAACAGGGACTTTTGGTCCTTCGCTAAGCGCCTCAAAAATAGTTCCACTACGAATAAGCCTATTTATAGCAATAATAGTATTGCATTGACTAACAAAGATAAAGTGAAAATTCTCGCTAATCATCTGGAGCAGCAATTTAAACCAAATGACTTACGCTGTGACTATAGATTCATTTATGACGTTCGCTACTTTGTAAAAGACTGGATAAATGCACCTAGTGTCAGAAACAGGACTCAGTTCTTCACCCCAGCAGAAGTGCAGGGTGTTATCAAGACTCTGAAAAAAAAAGAAAAGCGCCTGGTCATGACATTATCTCGAATATGGCTATTAAGAATCTTCCCCGCAATATTATCACTCATTTTATAAGCATCATCAACGCCAGTTTAGGAAATCCTTACTTCCCGCGTGCTTGGAAGCTTGCCAAGATCATTGTACTACCAAAACCAGGAAAAGAAGTATCCAGACCGGACGGCTACCGCCCAATTAGCTTGCTCTCGGGCCTCGG